TTGACCACGCCATCGGGGAGCTTGGACGTGGGTTCGAGACCTGCATGGGCCACCAAACTGTTGATGCTTGATTTTAACACCAACGACTCGCACGTGCAAAATGCTAAGCTGGCTTAGAAGTTACATGTGATATGGAAATATGTAGCAAAAGAGGTTTTTATAGTAGTTCAGATGCTTAATGCAAATCCTACATCCACTGTTATTTTATTATTCTCTAACTATTTCTATGATATTGCCCGTATGGCATACAAAGATAAAGAAATACTTTGCTTACAGAGAGAAATAATGAAGCTCAAATTTATGTCTAACTCTCATATGTCCAACCCCCTCTTTTAAGAAGAGATATGTCAATTTATACACTTTCGAGGTTAATGTAATGAGTGTTTTTGCAAGTTGTCTTGACATATAGAGAGCTCTCATTCGTCCTTATCTTAAAATGAGATAGGGTTGGTATAAAATATCTCTGAGGCGGTATGGATTTTACAATTAGTACACTTTATCTTTTAGACACTTGTTGAGCTGGTATCAGCGTGACTTGTTAGGCACAATAGGTGTAAACTTATTCATCATTAGATGAAAAACAATTGGTATGATATAGGATACGCGTGGACCCTTAAATGAAAGAAGATATTCATTCATATTTTGTGTTCTTATTTAGGAGGAGACTTTATCCAATTATAATACTTGGTTTGATCAGTCGTTGGTAATTATGAGCTTTTCCATATTCTTATGTTAAAACTTTGTATAAATTCTTTCAATCGAATACATCATGACTGTTTATTATGCTTAATTAATAAGTTTTATTACATAACGAAAACTCGAATAAATATTCAGACTTAATGAAGAGTGCGCTTAATATGTTGTATTGACCTCAAAGTTATTCTATTCAGTAGTGACAACGGCAATGTTTTTATAAACTTTCATAAAATGTTTTAACTTTTAATTATTTTAATTCAGTCAGGAGTCACTTTGCGAAGCATAAGGATACGAGTATCGCATGGCTCCCTTCCCATCTCTTTGAAGTTTTAAATTTAACTAGTTATGGAAATTGGTCTTTTATATTACCTAATCAATTTAAAGAACAAATAATAAATTTTCTTCATTTGTCTCTAGACCACATTAAATTAACTACCATATTAAGCTCTTGTGGTTCTTTCGTCACCCAAAAATAATTATAGCTAGACGCTCGTGCACTGCGTGACAAACGTATGTTTGTATTTATTCTTAGGTTTAAGGTTTTTTTTTTTTACCTTTGATTTTGATTGAGAAACATATGTCCTCCTAAGGTGTGAACTTATTCATCATTATATACAAGTAAGAACAATGTTTTATTTAAGAGAAATCATACCATAACAATTGGTTTGATATTGGATACGCATGGACCATTAGATGATGGAGGATAATTATTCATATTTTATATTTTGATTCAAAATTAGGTTTTATCCAATTATAATACTTAGTTTGATAGGTTGTTGTAAAATTCTTCATTCTTATGTCAAAACGTTGTAAAAATTCTTTAAATGGAACATATGTAGCTCTTTCTTACGTTTAATTAAGTTTGTTTTATTACATAATGAAAACTTGACTAAATATTCAAACTTTATGAAGAGATACCCACAATATGTTATATTGACCTTTGGGAGCGTTTAGTTCAATAAATGTTATATTATTGGGAATGTTATATTAATGGGAAGATAGATTACCTTGAAGATTACTAGGAATGTTGTATTAAAATTGTTTGATTAGATTGAAATAAATTGGTGGGTATGTTATAAAGATTACTGAATTGCCCTTCTTTTTTAATATTATTATTATTTGAATTATTTTTTTAACCCCCTACATTTGAGATTTTGCTAAAACACTCCAACCACAATAAAATTTTAAAAATTAGCCAATCACCCCATCCACCCAAGAGGATTGCAGACCACTGTCAAAAGTCATTGGAACAACGCATGATTAGCTAGATCTAGTCGATCATGCACTAATTTGGCCGTTTTCGATTAGATCCATGGCCATTAACGGCCAAACCATGGATCTAGCCATATTTCCATCTAGATCCAATCGATCTGATCGTTTATGGCCAAAGTGGATATAGTCGAAAACGGCCAAATCCAGGACCATCTGGCTATTTCCAACCATCGATATGGCCAGAAACAACCAAATCAGAGCACAACCAGCCAGATTCGTCCTATCATGCGCCGTTCTGGAAATTGTCGATGGCTGACAATCCTTTTGGATGGCTGTGGTGTTATGGCAGGGTTCATGTAAATTGTTTTCAAAAAAAGGGGGTTAATGTCCAAAAATTTTATTAACTAGAAGTAAAGTTGTAACAAAATTAAGATTTTTAAATAATCTTAAAATACCAAAGAAAATGGTGGTATTCAAATTACCACCTATATAACCAATGGTAATCACTATTGTTATTGAAAGATTTACCGAAATTTTTTATTACTTGATAATCAAACATGATAATGTCAGTATATAAGATGACATTACTAAACTAATGGAGGATAACCTCCAACTAAGCGCACCCTTAGAGTTATTTTGAGTAATGGCAAAGACAATGTTTTTATAAACGGTCATAAAACGCTTAAATTTTAATTATTTTATTCAGCAATCATTCCCCGAACAATGATATTGTGCTTACTCACGATCTTACTAACCATCTTATTATCCTGTGTAAATATAAAGCATAGTACATGTACCATGCTCATAGTACAGGTACCATATGTAATTTTAACAAAGGATAGTAAAATGGTTAGTAAGATCGTGAGTAAGCATAACATTACTCTTCCCCGAAACATAAAGATACAAGTATCACACGACTCCCTTCTCATCTCTTTAATGATTTAAAGTGAACTAATTTAGAGAAACTGGTCTTTTACATTATTAATCAATTTAAAAAATAAATAATAAAGATTCTCTATTTATCTCCGGGAGTAATGCTATACGTACTAACGAATTTTACTAATCAGTATACTAACTTAAATCATAGTACGAGTACCATACATATAGTACGGGTACTATGTGTGATTTTAATAAAGGTTACTACACTGGTTAGTAAAATCTATTAGTACGCAAAGTATTATTCTATCTGTAAACCACATAAAGTTAACTATCATATTAAGCTATGGGAAACTTTCTTGTGGTTCTTTTCATCACCCATAAATCATTGTAAGTGAACACTCGTGGTGTAACATCTATATATTTCCATTTAAAGAAAGTCTATGGTACCGCACTAGTATTACTTATATTGCAATAATACTATGCGTACTTACGAGTGTACTAACCAGCGTACTAACCTTTGTAAATATAAAGTATAGTACGGGTACCACAAGCATAGTACGGATACCATATGTAATTTTAACAAAGGTTAGTAAAATCCGTGAGTACACATAGCATTACTCCTTCTATTGTACCACCAAACAATGTATGCATGCATACATGCTAATAAATTGATTACTATATTTAACAACTACTAATCACGATTAATTTAAAAATGAAAAAGAGAGAAAATTAAAAGGTGTCATAATTTCACTAGAGGGTAATAATACCTCTGTTTTATTCTAGATTTTTTCTTATTGCGATAGATTCATGAAATAAAACATGGGAACTTACTGTAAAACTCTTTCACTATAAATCTCTTTATCAGGAAGAATTTTATATTTATTATGGGAGAAACGAAAAAATCTAGAATACTAAATGAGTATTACCACCCTTTAGTAAAATTATGACACCTTTAAGGGTCGTTTGAATTATATAATATTTTATTATAGGGAATATTATATTAATGAAAAGAAAGATCACCTTGAAAATTTATGGGAATGTTTAGAAAATGTGTTTGGCTGGCTCGAATAAATTGGTAAATAATATATTTGGTTGGGAGGATAAATGGGTGGGTATGTTATATAGATTACTAAATTGCCTTCCTTTTTAAATATTAATATAATAGTATTTTTTATTATTATTTTTTGAATCATTTCTTTAACCCCCTATATTTGAAATTTTGCTTAAGCACCCCAACCATATAAAACTTTAATTTGTAGTAAAATCACCCACACCCATCCCAAGCCACTGTCGGCAGCCAGTCACCACCGTCGGCAGTCAACGGAATGGCGCACGACTAGCCGTATATGGTTAGTCGTGCATCGGCAAAGCTTGAAATAGTCATGGAACACAAATCCATGGTTAGAAAACAACCAGATCTATGGCCATTTCACGGCCAGATCTGTGACCATGATCTTTGGCCATAAAACAGCCATGGAAATGCCAGATCTGGCCGTTTCCGACCATGGATAAATGATCCATGGCCGAAAAAGGCCTTACCGGCACACGATTGGCTAGATGCTACTGGTCGTACACCCCTACGATGACTGACGTCGGTGATCAACAATTGTGAGTCACGGCTGGCAATGATCTTGGATGGCTAGGGGTTTTTTGTTAACTTTTAAACTTTTTTGTGACTATAGTGTTTTAGCTAATTTTTCAAATGTAGGGGGTTGGGCTAATTTTTATTTGGTAGACATTTGAGGGCCATTGTATCCAAAATGGTTTTTAATTAAGGGTAAAATGGATAGAAAAATCAAATTACCCCGATAATGTTTTAATAACACTCTCTAACAAGGTAATAAGATTACCCCTCACATTACCAACAGTAAATACTTTTTACAATAAAAGATTACCGTAATATTTTATTACTTACAAACCAAACACATGAATATTGTAAAATAAACGAAGATTATCTATATTGTCTTATATACCTCCGATCCAAACGGCCCCTTAAATTAATTGTGTTTGGTAGTTATCAAATATAATAACTGCCTTTAATACATGCATTGTCTACGATACCATGTCAATAATTCTATGGTGATATCATATACATTTTAAAGAAAACTCTAAAATACAACAAAGTGAATTTTCTCTCTCATGTACCTTTATATTCCTATTAATTAGTAACAGTAATTACTAAATGTAATAACTATTTGACATACATTGTCTTTCGATATCTCGTCTACAATATATTGTGATACCATGGACTTTCCCGAGTAACCGGTCGAGTATTTGTGAATGCATAGAATCTCTTGACACTCATGCCACAGACACAAATACATGCAGGAAATCAACTGACGGGAATTAGATTGGACAAATAAATTGAATTACCATCAGTTAATCCACAAATGAGGTTTAGCTTACCCCTCGCTTTGCCTTTCTACCAAAACCAACAAGCCAATTTAAAACTTCCCGACAACCTTTTTCATATCATTAAGAGATCAATAACAAAACTAAAGACCAAATGGATTTTCCAGATACCTTGATGCTACAAACAAAGAAGGCCTCAACTCTTGAACAAAACTGTATAAGCCTCTTCGATCGATCTCCACACTACGTAATGCAACTAGTTCTGGTTTATAGGACTAATATGTTTGACAGTGTCAATGAGAGAACAATCCACAAGGAGACAGGCATTAAAAGTGTAATGGCCATGAATTTTGCAGAAGCTTCGGAGTTGTCTGTGGGGGGTACTGGAGGGCTAAACCCGGAATTACCACCATTATTATCTAGGGGCATTGTAGTCGGTGTTGTTGGCATGTTCGGGTTGTTCGTGGTGGTTGTTGTGGGTGCCGACCCTTGTGACGTATTGCCTCCGGCGGTGCTGAAAATTTGCAAGATTCAGTTGTTAGCCCTCTGAGACTTTAGCAGAGTTCTTGAACAAGAAACATATAGCAAGGACCTATACTTCCATCATTTTTAAGAAAACATAAATCTCCATTTCAAATTAATTTTACTAATACATTTTATCCTCGTCTTCATTTACACTAAAGAATATTAACCAAACTAATAAACACGCAAATGAATGCACGTACCCACAACAAACAATCTTTTGTATGGTTTGATAAATAAACACATCATTCAACGGGATTTGACTACTACAGTTAGCGAAATTCTTCTAGCATCAATTTCGTAATATCAATAGACTTGGTAAATTGAGTAACAAACTTGTGAACTGTAAAATAAAATGTGATTCTTATATATTCCTTAACGTTGAATATCACGAGTCTCATTTTAAGCACCTATAGTGGAATTTTATTTTTCTCCTAAATGAAAATCAAGTGTGGCCATACAGCTTCTTAGGCAAGACATTGTGTTTCAGCCTATAATGGGGGGGTAAAGCTTGTGCCAGGTGGTAAGGAAAAGTTACAACAAAAGTGGGAGTAGGACCAGCAGCAGAGGTCTCTAGATTATTAAGAGTATAAATCTCCAAGCTCCTACCAGCCGTAAAGGCACCAAAACAGTGGATGCATCTACCAAAACTATCGACAAAATAAATGTGGCCCATACTAGAGTCTTATAATTTCTAGGTTCATTTCTTTGGTTTGACTACAGTTATACTGCACTAATACTAATGTAGGATGATATGATTGATAAACTGAAAACTAAAAAGTAACCTAAAAAATTTCAAGGTTTGCCTTAGCAAAGATACATTACCAACATTCTTTTGAAAATTAAGTTGTCCAAGTTGCATGAGCTAAACAAGTAACTGGACATTTACAATTGAACCTAGAGCTTTATGCAATATACTCTAAGCTTTAATTAAAATAATGACCCCACAATAACATCCTTAATTTATGCATGCAACTTCTTAATAAGAACTGAAATTCTCTTGAATTTGGTTTGCACTAAAAATGGTATTTAAAAAAAAAAGTGGTCATTTCGAACAACTAAAGTAGTCCAATTAATGGACCTGAGAGCTCTGACAGTGAAAGATAATGCCATGTATCAATTATCAGAGCTAGAAAACAAAAAGCCCTCCACAAATCACTGTACATCTGCAAGCTTGTCGTACCATTAAGATCCCTTCCGTTGGTTTTGTTTGACTGGTAAGACCATCCAACGGTGTCAGACAAAATTAAAATGACCAGTCTCATCCAACATTCGACAGACTATGCAGCAAGCAAATTGTGCCATCCAAGGTATCAAAAGAAGAGAAAAAGACATTGTGGTCCGAGAACTCCGATTGACACAAACATAACTTCAAATCTCCCATGCACAATGACAAATGTAGTGCATCCATAAAAACTTCACAAAGTAACACAACCTGGGGCTTTTTCCCTCTCTCCAAACTTGAACTCAAAAGGAGAGGAAGCTACAGCTCGGTTATGGAGATGGAAAGAATATCCGCTAATACTTTAATAATAAAAAAAACAGCCCCATTTACCCAAAAGAGAAAATGACATAAAGAAAAAGAAACCAGGTTGCGTGACGATGAAGAATCTATTACTATTAAAACACAGATACTTGCGTGCTTAAGTTATGGTAAATTTCCTTTCTTTTAGAACCAAAAATAAAAAATAAAAAATGAGTGAGAACAAACATACCTTATTGAAGATGGATAGACACAAGATCCATAACCTATATCACAACAAAAAAAAATAAAATCAAATAAAATAAGCAAAACAAACGTTAACCCACTGAACACAAGACAAAACGAAGCCAAAAAGAGCGAGAAAGGGATAGAGAGAACGAAACTGGGATCACTTCGAGCTACAGTGGCAGTGCCAGAAAAGTCACAGGAGCCAGGAGCCATGCCCTTTCTCTGGAAGTAACTATTGAAGGCGTAAGAGGCGTGAGCCTGGATGGTGTTGGGGAGGTAGCAGAGACCATTGGGGAGAACGGGAGTACAGTCCGCACCAGCCCCGCATGCATAGTCGAGAGCCGTTTGCAGAGCCTGGTTGGTGGCATCACTTCTCGCAACGCACCAGTAGACGGTTCCTTGAGCTTCAACAATGGTGACCACCATGATCGTGTTCATGCATAAGAAGATGAGGAGCAGTAACGGCTCTGAAAGGGTTGGTGCCATGGAGGAAGAAGAAGAGAAAGTTACAGGTGGAGTCCGTGAATTGGGTAGCTTGGTTAGTAAAGGAAGAGAGAGAGAGAGAGAGAGAGAGAGGGGGAGGGAATATGAGAGAATGTGGTGGTTTCTTCAAATTTTTATTTTTGTTTTTGTGCTTCACTTTTTCTTTTGGTTGCTTTTATTAATAATTTGAATATTTGATTTGAAGGTTTTGTTCTTTCTTTCAGCCTTTCAGGTTTTTGTAGAAGACAGCTTATACTGTGTTTTTCTGGATGTCCATGCTTGCTTGGATGTGAATTGACAATTATAACCTTGGGTGTCAGGTGACAACTGACATCTGACAACCTTAAAATGTGAACAGTAAAATTGAGATCCTAATTTTAATCTTATCCTATATAATAATAATTGATAACAGTAAGATATTAATTATAAATGATCTTATTTTCTTATAATTAATGTGATGTTATTGTTAACCGTTACATGATAAAAAAAAACTTTTCAACCTTTGAAGTTTTGATCAATTATCATCAACAAATGTTGATATAATTAGTTAATTGGAAGGATTTTTCTGTTTCAAAAATCATCTTATTTTGATATTAACTCAATTTAAAAAACCATAGGTTATGCTCTGACAATATTTGGACAAATAGACCTAAACCCTAAGAAGTAAATGCAATTTCACAACTTTACATACATAATATTATTATTATTTATATAATTTGTAATTGACATAGACAAAAGAGATTTATCGACGTATAAAAAAAAAAAAAAAAAAAAAAAGATTTAACAATCAAGTCTTTTATCGGATTCTTGATTGCATTGTCGTTGGTCATAGTGAACTTCAGAAAATTGGATTCCAAAGGGCATAGTGAATCTTGAACGACACAAGGTAAATATTTCTATTAAATTGGTGAAGAGTTACAAACTTAACAGGCGCCTTGACTCCTCGGGGATAGTGTTCTTGAAATTAAATTATTTGATGTTTGATATAAGAATAATATTTGTGTATTCATAAAAAAATTAAAATCCCAAGTTGAGATCATTATAAATAAGAATAAACTTTACATTTTAATAAGTTATAATTTTTTAAATTCCTGTTTTAAGAAATTTGCCTCCACAAAATAATACTTATTTATATATTACAAAAAATATATATATTTAGTTATGTTACATTAAATGTTTAAAATGAAATAAATATTTATCTAAAGCTATTTAAGACAATAATTTATATTTTAAAGTTGTTACAATGAAATAAATAACTTACTAACATAAACATCTTCTTATTGAAACGAAAATATTTATAACTTCTCAAATATATTTAAAGCTTCTTAACACAAAACTTTTTGTATTTTCGTACTATCATTTTCATGATTATTTTTTTTCTCTTCTTGTCTAATTACAATAATGATTTTTTCTTCAATTAAAACATACACAATTTGTTGCTCATTTGGATGATCAAGAAAAACATTAATATTCATTCGATTAGTATAAACATTAAAATAAGAAATCAAGTAATATTAAAAGTAAATAAACAAATCTTAATACTACTAAAACAATTAATTGAAATCTTAATATATATTACTAAAACATAAATTATAAAATAAAAAATAAAAAAATACATATATAATTACAAGGTTGCTATGGGTTTTTCACAAGGGTAAAACTAAAGGTGGCGTATGCAAAGATAGGGGGATAAAATATAATTCGGCCCTTTCCACAACACACTACGTACTAAAGCAAAATTTATCATCCATGCATTTCTCCTTTTTTTATTTTTTTCTTTTCTTTTCTTTTATTCTCATAATTAGTTACTAGTTTTATATTTAAGAGAAAAAAATAAAAAGGAAAATAAGAAGAGAGAAGAAAAGAAATACCCCTTCCTTTTGTTATCTCAAACTTTCAACTTTTGAGTTTTGACCCTTGAGATCGAATCAAAGTGATACAAATTTGTGGCTTTTTTTGGGGGATTGATTGAAATTTGTGCATTTCCAACAATTGGAATATATTCGTTCCCAAATTATGAACAATTTTTATTTAATTTATAATAATGTATTTCCAAAGAAAAAATCATCCATCATGAATAATACTACATTAACAACCATCTCTCACAAACTTTCTCCCATAACATTGACGTAACAATTCACAATTAATTAATGAGACCTGTGTAAGACTCATGTGAGACCCGTTATTAACTGACCAATTGCGAACTGTCACGTCAAGATTGTGAGAGAGTTTATGAGAGATAGTTGTTGGTGTAGTATTAGTCATCCATCATATCTTTTCAGAAAAATCAATTGAAATCATGTGTGTTTGCTAGATTACACGAAGAAATTCTGGAAAGGAAAAATATTTATTGAAATAATGACATGAAATTGTGCATTCAATCTCCAAAAGAATATAATACAAATATCATAAAGGGAATATTAATGATTAAATTTAAACCACCAAAAACTTACAATAAGAAAAACAAAATAAGTTCTTTTCCTGAGGCAGGGTTTAGATGAATTACAGACACTAATTTACTAGACCTGAAGTTTATTCTCTACATACCTATTTTGCTAAGTTCATAAGTAAATAAATTAAAAAAAAAAAAAAAAAAAAATTAATGAATTTGACCAAAACTTATGCCTTTTACTATATATTCTATTCAATTAGGAATCAATCTATTGATTATACAAAATATAAGGTAAAAGTAATCTTCTAAAATTTCAATCATAAGATATGAGTCTAGACTCTAGAGTTAATCACTTAATTGTAGTTTAGCCCCAAACTTTCAATCAAGAAAGTCCAAATCCTGTTGTTCATATACTAGAAAAATCCCCCCTGAAACTAACTAAAGTTTTCAAAATCCGTTAATAAAAAATGATATAACAAAAATACCCCAAATTGTGAATCACGTCTAGAATTTAATATTACTGTTCGGGGTATTTTTATCATTTTAGTTTTAGTTACGGTTTGTACTTTAAATACAGGATGAGTTTCCTAGCATTTGAAACAGCAAGACCAAGACGATAGTAGTTGAAAACCTATGATTGATTAAGTATTTCTCTCTATGAGTCTATGACTTCAAAACTCTCTCAAAACAATCAAAACCATTCTTTATACGGCTCTACGACTTCAGAACTCTACATGAAACATGACCATTAATCAAGCATTTGAAATGCAGTATTAGCTAACCTCTAGGAGAATGCACCAGTTCTCTAGCTGAAAAATAATCTATACTTGGCTTGGCCATTGCCCCAAGAATACTACTAGCACTGGTATAATCTTTGCAAGAAGATTTGTCTGGTAAACAATCAATTGAATAATCTGGTAAGGTGCACTGTATCCTACCAAAAACCTCAATAATTTAGGTAGCTAAGGTCTACAGGGGCCAAAAAAATTACAATTTTTTTTTTTGGTATGATATGGTTTCATGATATACATCTAGGAACTCAATACATGTCAAAAAAATTGGTATTAGATATAATGGTAATTGTTGTTGTACACTCACCTCTGGTTTTTGTGTCTGTCCCTCTGTTTTTGTCTCTCTCCCCTTTGGGGGGAAAATCATGTAACGTGTATGAGAAGGAATGATTTCAAACTTGCTCATAGAATAAAATGTATGCCTCACAGCGCAGAACTTCTTCGAGGGAAGATTCACGCACATAGGCATCACTGGCATGATACCACACGCAACCTCCGTTTTCTTTCTCTGTCTTTCCTTTAATTTTTGCACCTCTCACATATGCAACATAGTGACCCCCTCTCATGGTTCCCAAATGCTCTACTACACCAAGCAGACGATAATTGTATTTCTCTTTATCTGTGCACCTACGAACACCCAACAATAAACTTCTTTAAACAGTGATACATTGAATGCAAGAAACGAGTGCGACATCATTAAGTTTCTCCAATAAAATACGCAATAAACCAAGTGAACTACTACTATATTTAAATAGAAAACCTCTCAATTGATATGATCATGTCTCCATGTCCCACAAATAGATAGGGAGCAAACACGTCTTTTGGAATTAATCTCAGGCAATAGAATGAGGAAAGCTCGATTGACAAGGGCATAAACACATTATCCAGGACTAATTTAGTGTTCTATAGCATTAAGAAATTTCAATCTTCAAAGAAACTACAAAAAGACAACTAAGATACACAATCGGAAAGAAAGGTGGAGAGAAATTTCTAAAATTCTCTCCTGTCATTCTTGGAATAACAAAGGTACATACAAAAAGGTATTAATAAATAGTTTGGTCTATCTCATTAAGCACCAGTATATCTAGTCACATTCAGATTTTTTGGACTCATTAAACCTTTTGGCTTACATTTCTTTTTATTTATCTTAGGGTACCTCTGTGTTTGGAGACAGAGAAACCTAGTGTCTCAGAAGACATCCACACAAATAGCATACCTACAAATTTTGTACATGGAAGACACGTCAACCTAGACAGTAAAACTAGAAAAACCAAATATAAGCATGATTCTTTCTTTATTTTTGAAAACATCACCAATACACCAACTCTAATAAGTCATTAAAACTCCTTCAACATCCCTCTTTGTACATCGCTGAGACTGTTCATAACTAAAGCCTAGGCATCCGGAGGTCAAACAAAATGACCCTTGGAATACTACTTTGCAGACCACTTACAAATCCCATCCAGAATATACTTAATTTTATACATTAACCTTCCGATGAAACTGAGAAACAAAACATTAAAAATAAAATAAAATACTCCACAAAGCATCTACACAGGAAAGAAAAGAGTAACTTCCTCTGAGAAGACTGGGTAACAAAAATGTGAAAAAAAGGTTCCAATTTTTCCAAAACCATAGAAGTGCAATTATTATATTTTCATTCCAGCAGAAATTTGAAGATTAAGAAATTCTCATATGTTGATGTTATTGTTGTTGGTTATTAATTAAAGATTATCTTGCAAAGAGCTTTTTCAGTTTCTGATAAGTCAACTAAAAAAGCCCTCATCCCAGCTCCTAGTTTTAAATTGCCATTTTTGAAATTAAGGTATTATGATTACTATCAAACAGAACCCAAACCATCAAAGACGAAGAAAAAAGTTTGGCATATCTACTAAGAAAAACTCCTCAGTATCTAACCAGGCCTTACTAGCAACATCTATTGATTTGTCTTCATATGCATTAGAGAGAAGGATTGAATGAGGCCAAATTCTATATATTAAAGATATTACTAATATTTTTAATGCGCATAAAACAAGAATATGCCTATGGCAGAACATAAATATATTACCATTCTAAATCCCTAGTCTTCCACTAGAATAATTTTCTGCCATGTTAAACATCAGGCAATCCCTAATAGTTACAATGTCAAGCACACCCTTTTATCACAGCCACGATGTTAGTATATTAACCCTTTTATCACAGCCACGATGTTAGTTTATTAAGTAATATTCTTGACCACTTACTAGTTCAGACATTCAAAACACAATAGAATATAATCTGCGCCAAAGTTGCTGACAATGACAACCATAGAAAAAAAAAAAAAAGGGAAAACATTGCTTCTGCTGGACATAAAATCACTTTCGATAAATTTAAGAAATGATGATGTACCTGGGATCCATATATGGTCTAAGATTAATCATTTCACCGAAATTTACATGGCCATTCAATTTATTTAGACGACCACGAGCATCTTGGCTGAACCTCTTCAGATGAAAAGTCAAAATAGGCGGGGCCTTATTTATAAGGACCCTTTTGGTTGCATCCCGCTTCACCTTTACTTTTAGGGAATTTATCTCCTCACTTGACTGAGCATCATCAGCAGTACACCCAGTACTATCAGACTCATCAATAGTATAAGAATCTTTGACTTGATGAGCAATGCTTTCTTGACTGCGAGATTTCCAGAAACCAGAAGACCGGGATTGCTCAGGAACTGCATCATTGGCTTCTATTGTTCCCTCTTCCCCTTGAGAGACAACTGGATTAATCTCACATGTCTGACCACTTTCAAATTGCACACAAGTTTGATTTAAGGAATCAGTCTTCCCATTTTGTAAAACCAAGCTTTCACCAGAAGTGTCCAGATCAATATCAGTTTTGATATCTCCATTACTAAGAGTTTTAACTTCAGAAGTCCAGGATATGTCTTTTGTAGTCTTTAGATCATTTTGCTTCCTAGTCTCACATCCATTTATCAAAACTTGTGAAGCAAGTTTAGCCTGCTTCTTCAAAGCTTCCAACTTCTGGCGTTGCAGAGTCCTTGAACAGCTCTCACAATCCCAAGCATTATCATCAGTGAGAAGTTCTGGCTTTATAAAATGAGCCAAACAACTTTCTACAGACACTGGAGAATTTGAATTATCAACCTCTTCTGGATCAGATTCGCTGCTATTTCCTACTACAAAACCACTGTCCACCCCTTCACCACCTAAAGAGGGCCCTGCAACTGGCCCTGCAACTGGACCAGCAGTAATTTCAGGTTCATTAAATAACCCACCAAAGCCATCAAAGTCCAATTCCTCTTGCCCATAGCCAACAACTGATGAGGAGGCCTCAGCATCTCCACTCATCATCTCCCCAGTAGTGGAACTTTCTTCATTGTATGGAAGCAAGATAACTTCTGAAACTTGAGCAACCAATGGTAGCTCATCCTCCCCAGGATTCATAGAAGAAGAATCCGGTTTTGAATTTAGCTCTTCATTGAGTGAAGGAATCTGACTACTCTCCATCAAGATATCACCGGACACCTTACCCTTGTCTCCAGAATCTTGAAAAAATAAATCATTATTTTGCAAAGTCAAATCATGCCCATCTAACGTACTTTCTGGTTCAACATAATCTAACCACGTAAAATCATCAAATGAAGCCACTGTTTGGTCCATTGAATTATCCAAACCTTGCTCATTCTCAGGCTGTGCAACAGCTGAAAAATTCTGAGAAGAACTGCTTTCAGCAGCCACAGTTGATGAGCCAACAGAATCTGATAATGAATAATCACCTGAAGAACTCACCACCTTTTCAGTAGGAGGTGCAGTAGACTGTGACACACTCAGAGACTCACCAATGGCAGCTGGACTTGAAGAATTTTGAACTGTTACAATATCAATATCTTTGTTAGCTTTACCTCGAACCTTTCCACTTTTCTTTGGTGGTGGTTTTGCTTTCTTGGCTCGAGAAGGTTGGGCTTTTTTAGGTGGAGGTTTCTTGGTTGGAACCGGAAGAGAGAGATCTAAAAATGGCTCAAAAACTGTTGAGGAGTGTCCACATTCCACACAACAAACAGTACTAGAAATTTGTCCGCCAAATACAGAATCCACAAAAGTAGGACCTGGATTTGAAGAAATCCCATTTTCCTCAGAAGAATTAACTTTTTTTCTGACACCCAACTCCTCAGTACACAGTCCATCAAGTAAGCAACGAAGCAATTCATGACTATCATGCTGCTGATATCCCCGAAACTGGGGAGCCTTAGAACAGACACACCCAAAAAAAGATCTCGGATTCATAACATTTCTCAACCCTGCCTCTGGTTTTGTTTCAGTGAAGAGCTTCTTCAAAGCAATAGTAAGAGGGCCAAAAGATACATCCATATTCAAGAAGTAATCCCGCAATCTACCCATGGCTAGAAGATTTTGCATGACTGAATTAAAAAAGCAAGTATTTCCAAGGTTAGTCAAACCTCTTACCACGTAGCCAGCCTTTCCATCTAAACAACCCCCAACTGATAAAATGCCTTCAGATTTGATTTCACTAGTAACACTGCCACCACCAAACCACACGTCCTCAACATCCACTGATGAACCATCTCTTGACCGACCCTTCATTAATTTTACAACCTCAGAAAATACATCTTTATTTTCACCATTTTCCTCTGTTTTCTCAACTGGAATGAGTGTGTTGCATGGAAAGCACCACCGGAGATGAGTGTTTTCCCATTGGATCACCAAAGGATGCCGGGCTTGTCTAGCATGCCGAACCGCATGGCTTTGAGGGGTTGTAGGAAGTCCAACCCCTCCACAAGAATAATGCCCACAATCTAAACAAACCCAAATGGCTTTCGAATCGGATTTTGAATCTGCTGAAGCACCTCCCTTCTTCTTCCCATGTTTACCCTTTCCCTTCCTCCCTCTTCTATCATTTGCACCTTCTCGACAATCCTCACACCTAATAGGATCTGAAGACCCAAATTTAGCAGAAAATTTATCAAAATCAACACCCTTGTCAAGATGGACACAAGCTTTTCTCTCTTTCACCACTGCAACGCCAACATCAGAACTCTCAACCTGATTAGATTGTTGAGGAACATTTTTAGGAGATTGGGCTGCAGCTCGCTTCTCCTTAGCAGCTGCTCTACTCTTCTTATCAACCTTTTTCCCCATTAGTCCCTAAAACCAATTCAAAATAACCATTGAAACTAATCAATCCATAAAACCAGAAATAGAAACAATTAATCCAAAGGACACCACAAATAACCTGCTAGAAATCATAAACTACAATAAATAAATAAATAAATAAATAACTACAATCTAATTTCTTTCATGGACTTTTTTCCCTCCAATAAATAATGATATCCCACTATCTCCATGAACTATTGTCACAACCATCAATACCCAAAAAAAAAAAAGAAAAAACTAATAATTATAAACAACTAAAACTATTGTCAGATTCACATACATAGAATAGAACGAACAATGACAAACACTATTTAAATTCAGTCTATGTAAAGAACCACGCATAGATTGAAAAAAATAATAATAATAAAAGAAAAGTAACAGAACCCATTACAGATTCAGGCATTTGGATACAACCCAGATGATTATTGGAATTTAAGAGCGCATTTGAGAGCTTGTAGGCAATCGAAAAGGTCACCAAAAGCATATATTAAGCAAAAAGCAAACGATTCAAACAGAGAAGTTTGAACAGAAATTAGAGATAAATACTACTAGTACCTGTATATCTGGAGCGACCGAGCGAGAGGCCTAAGATTGATGATAGAATCTCAGAAGAAATGCTGTTACATAGATGTTGAAGATTAGGATCTAATGAGTAAGAATGGTAGAGAGAGTTGTATGCGGAAAAGGAATATTTGGGCTCAACCAAAACTTGTAGTGGGTCTTAGTCTTAAAACAAAGAGGGGGGAAGGGAAGGGAGGAGAGTGAAAGTGAAAAGGGGAAAGAAGAAGAGAGAGGAGATAGGGTTTTACTAGATGTAAAATGAAATGGTGAAGTTGTAGTTTCAAGTTTTAACTACTCTGTGATTGTTCAAAAATATGAATGATTGAATGCGGAGGGGAAATGCGTGGGTTTGGGTGGGTTAAGTTTGAGTCCAAACCCGATTCATCTGCATTCGGGTTTCCTTTTTGGTCATAAAGTATTGGGATGTTAATTTAACAGTAAAAAATTGGGGTTTAAACAGAAGTCAATGTTTTAAAACCCAGCCCGGGGTGAATCCCGGTAAAGTTGCTGGGTCCCGGGTTGACGGGTTTAACCGGTTTAACTGGCGGTTTACTATATTAAGTGTTGTATGTTTTTCTTGGTAGTTTATTTGTTGTGATAGGAAATGAATTAACAAATCAATAATGTTAGGTCTACAACATAATCTCACAATCTTCAACGTAACAGTTCGTAATTGATTAGCTCGTAAATGGGCAATAGGATCTATATTAAGCAGGCATGACTCATTTGCGAGGTATCATGTCAAGGGTTATAAGAGAAGGTTGTAAGATTAGGTTGTAGATCTAACATTACTTTTAACAAATTACAGTTTAAAAGTGGAAATATGATGATGTTTTGTTTGTTTAAGGTACTTAATATGTTATATGATTTCCAATGGGTTCTCAAATGGTTGGTTATAAAAGAGAGCATTTGGGGTGTGAAAGTAGGAAAACTTGATAAACAAATTACTTAGATGCAATTGGCATGAAGAAATCTGATTCATAAATTGGATCATGAACGCTTCCTTGTCTAGTTCGCGAAGTGGATTTGTTTTTATTTTTTAGTATATATTTTTTCTAAAATTTTAATAAGCTAATTTAAATGGACAATTGGTCATTTGGTTGGTTACGGCCAAGGCAATAGGATTATGGCAATAATTCACATAGTTACGTATTGAGGGAAATAGAAACAGGCTTAAATGCCCAAGTCCCAACGATGTGAACAATGAGGGTTTTGTAGAAATTTTGTTTAAGAGTCTTGGTATAGATTAACATAAGTCCAGTATTAAAGCCTAAAACATCAATCAATGGAATGATTGTGGAGTAAAATAATTAACAAGAACTCATATCGAGGACCATTTGATAGCGGAGTTGAAAACTATAAAGTTAAATTAAAAACAAGACATTAGAATTACCAAAAACAAAATCTCTTTAATGCACATATCACACCCAAATATCCTCAGCATTCGAGGCGAGTATACATTACATCATCATTATTTTTGTCATCAAGAAATCTATAGTTTTGGAATTCACTAACATTAAAATTCATGGCATTCTCCAAGACATAAAATAAATTGTTGACCAACTTTCCGGTGTATAGAACACTTGTTTCGCTTGAGAAGCTAAGATGAATAGGTCGGATTTGTTAAAACCTAAGTCATCTGCCTACACACACCCCTTTATTGTCAATCCAATGCACTTAAATACAAGTGCATTAAATAAGTAGCAATTAATATCCCAATTTTGATCTAACACCTAGTTGAGCAACATCCCCAAAAACAACATTCTTATTTTTAGCACTTGCATTTGCATAGTATTGCTACAAATAACGCCACTATATTAGTATCACGATCTCGTGTATGGAATTGAAAATCATTAATGACATGGTCATGGTACTTGACCCTTTAAGCTAGCCATTTCGAAGTGTTTGAAATGTCTTCACCATTGCACAAAGCATTTGAAACCTGACCATTTTGAGATTTATAACAACAAAATTGATAAATATAAGACACCTCTATTGGGACATTTTGACTGCAAGTGTGGACCATTGCAAATAAAAGCAGTTATGTTGAGGATTTGCATATTTCTTCCATTCCTTCGTAGTTGGTGTTTTGCTCTTTCCATCACTAGAATAAGACTCCCTTGCCCACTACCTTTGCCATTAGGTTTGAAATTTTTTTGTTTGGAAGAATCATTTCTTTAATACTCTTTCAAGGTTTTGCTACGACCCAGACAATGGCTATATCTTTCGCCCCACACCTTTGTGAATCTTGTAATGCCCAATTATGAAGCCCATATCCATGAAGTGAATGGTAAATCTTCCTTACCCATGTTATTGAACTGCCCTCCTTGGTAGACCTAGTGTGTTTCAACTTCTTCGTTGCATCATAAGCCACATTCTCAAGATAGAACTAGCACTTCAAATCTTCCTTCAAGTCTCACTCTTTATTTCAACATACTTGTTACGCCACCAACTAACAGCAAGAATCGGTAAGATAAAGTGTAGCATTGTTTACCTTGTCCTTTCCATCGAGTAGCTTCAATGCGTCAAAGTAAATTTTCCAAACTATTTTGCATCCCTCTTCCTTATATACTCCTTAGGCTTTGGAGTTTAAATACGTGGTGCTAAAATTAAAGACGATTGATCCCGCTATTATTGCCTTCTTCCAAATAGCCCAATCTGCTCTTTTCTACTCCAATTCTAATTTCATCTATAAGCTAGCTATATATTCCAGTTTGCAGGGAGATTTAATGGTGCAGATTCATACATATCCAATGCGATGGATGCCATGATTAATCATAAAAGTATAAGAACTCTACTCCTATTTTGAGTGAATGAATATTCTAGAAGTATCTAGAAAGGTTCCTGGTATATTCTCTGGATACTCTGTGTCAAATCTGGGTTAAACCTTTGAACATGAATTGGCCTTATTTGGTGTTAGGCTTGGGGCGAACGTGACATTTGGGAGGGCAATCAAGTTGTTGCCTTAACAACACAACAAAGCGACGCCTCCAATTGTGAGTTTCACAATATGGGCCACAATGTTGAGGATGCTAAAACATCAATTTAGGTCTTGTTAGGGCCAAAAATTGTCTTGGACGTGACGAGGCCTAATAACGAAATAAACATGTCACGGCCTAAGGCCTCAACCCAATCCCGATTGGACCTACACTTAAAATCACCTTGTGAATTATCTACTCTATAAGTTTGGATATCTTATAAGTTAAGTTAAACTGGGTTTCAGCCCATTAGCCTACAACAGTCTATAAATAGAAAATCAGAATCTCATTTTATTTCCTCTTCTATTAAGATTCCAAATCTTACTCGAACTATTAAACTTAATCTGATAAAGTCAAGAAATCATATTTCTTTCCTGATAGAGATTATCTCCCAAAATAGGACTTAGTGTCCTACTAGGATTCCAACTCCTTGGGTTCACTATAAAAACAAAGGTCTGTCCTCTCATTAAGGGGGGAATCTCCCATAGTCAATCTAAACTATTCAAAACCATCCATTTGCTCATAAAGTTCTTGTTCCCAAGAACCGGACGCCTCGTAGTCCTAGCCTCTAACAAGACTCCTGGGAATCCGTCTTCTCCTTAATTCTTATCAAATAATCTCTTTCAGTCTTGCTGACTTGAGTGTCGGAGTGCCTACGGCAAACACCACCCCGGTGTTTTCCGTAGGCTTCACGCTTGTCCTTTCATGTGTGCAGATCTAGTGGATTGTCAGTGGCATCAATCTTACGAGATCATACACTATTTTCATGACGGTAGATTTTTTGCATCTACAGTTTGGCGCCCACTGTGGGGCCCTAACAATCATCTACTAACAATAACTTGCAACATGAAAGGAGGCACGTAACTCCCTCCGACTGACATCGCTAATCAGAAAACTTCATCACGATAAGAAAATTTTTCTTTACTTTTCTTCATTTGTTTTATCTATTCACCTGTCATATTATATCTATTCAGCGCGTGATATGATACCTTGAAGCATCAAAACACATCCCCCATATTCATAATTTGTTCCATGCATTAGTTGGAATATTTCTCACTTTTCGTATGTGTTTAATTTCTTTTTGGAGGGTATTTTGTGTTCTAAAAACCCTTACATCTCCTGGGCACGTTTTTGGGTATTTAAAAACCCATCTTCCTCTCCATCTCTAGACCCACAAATTCTCCAACCACAACAAATGGTTCAAAACGTTAACGTTGCCTCCGTGTTGAATTACTAAAATCCCACAAACCTTGAATCAATCCCCCTCAATCTCATCAAATTCAACAGTAGCAACAATAACAACATTTTGCATACACCGTCTTAAGGTAGCAAGCTTTGTACGATCAAGTGAATTTCAGTCAACGGAATCAGCAGCAAATCCAGCAAAAGACCACCTTTCCTAAACAACTAAACCAGTTTCTTCCAAAACTCTCATATCCAACAGCATAACCGAACCCTTGTTCTATCCAAATACCAGAAAAACAAGACAAAATCCAAAACCCGTCCATCTTGCTTCCTTAGATGAGTGCAAATCCGCTTAGATTTCACCAATATAATTTCACCTTGTGAAGTTTCCTGTGAAATACAAATCTCAAGCATGAACGCCAAAGCTAAAGCCAAACCCTTCCAAATACTAAAGGTCCTTAAAAAAAAGAAAACACTTATCCCATCTTCCACCTAGCATCCGCCAAAAAACTACTCAAAAGAATGCCAAAATTATCTTTGACAAACTCAAAACCCATATTCAAGACTAACCCAAATTTTTTTCTTCGAAAGTCAACAAAAATCGCCTTAGATTCATCCAAAGAATAGCCTAGAAGGTTCTGGGAATGCAAAAAGAATAGAGAAAAGCAAAATAAAAGAATCAAGAGAAGTTACCAAGGAGTCTCTGGAGAAATCACCCACTCTCTGGACTGGAAAGAATAAAAACTTAAAAGGAGAAGAGAAGAAAAAGATCGAGGTTGTGAATGGATGCCAAAGCATTATTTCTATGCCATTTAATGCACCTTGTTCCCAAAATGCCACATTTCAAAATTTTTGGAAAGGTAAGCTTTCTATTCCACCTCCTGCACAATAAGATTTTGATATTCCTTAGAAGTTTTATTTGGAATTCTTTGATTTTCTTTTCACTTGCTGAATTGAGTCAATGTCCCCTGCCAAGTGGGCATTAATTAAGCAACACAAGAATATTCATCCCAATTGGCTATGAAAGTCCCACTCGGCCTACCGAGTGGATTTAGGCAAGGACCTATTCCTCTAAGACATTTTCATGCTATTATTTCCATTCAACCTCATGCTTTCAATGCAAATGAGCCCCATCCGGCCAAACACCTTCATTCGGCTCTTTGTTTCTCCATTCAGCCTATTGTTCAACACATGCATCCCAGGCATAGTATTTCTTTCTCTATTTGACTTATTATTTATTTGGTTTATTATATACGCACGACATGAATCACTTCTCCATTTAGCCATGAGTTTGTTTGGCTTATTACTTCTCCGTTTAGCATATTCTTGATTTAGTCTACTATTACACATGCATGCCATTACTTCTCTTATTCAATTTACTGTTGATAACTGCACACCATGCGTGATACCATATAAAGTTGTTTTAAGTCGTCTACTATGATCACCTTCAATCAATTTACATCGACTCAGTCGCGAGGCCCAGATTACATCGACAATCGGTCATACCAACAAGGCCTCGATACATCTACAAATAATTTCAACTCCAATGAATTTACATCGACTCGGTCGCGAGGCCCGGATTACATCGACAATCGATCATACTGATAAGGCCTTAATTCATCTATAAATAATTTCAACTCCAACGAATTTACATCGACTCAGTCGCGAGGCCCGGATTACATCGACAGTCGGTCATACCGACAAGGCCTCGATACATCTAAAAATAATTTCAACTCCAACAAATTTACATCAACTTGGTCGCGAGGCACGGATTACATCGACAGTCGGTCATACTGACAGGACCTCGATACATCCACAAATTATTTCAACTCCAACGAATTTACATCGGCTTGGTCGTGAGGCCCGGATTATATCAACAGTCGGTCATATCGATAGGGCCTCGATACATCTACCAGTTATTCCAACTTCAACGAATTTACATTGACTCAGTCGCCAGGCCCGAATTACATCGACAGTCGGTCAAACCAACAGGGCCTCGACACTTTTAACATCTACAAATTTTTTAACTACAATTGATATACATCGACTTGGTCGTGAGGCTCAAATTACATCGACAGTCGGTCACACCGACAAGGCCCCAGTACTCAGTGTCTACAAATTTTTTGAACTATAATTGGTTTACATCGACTCGACTACAAGGCCTGACTCCTCGAATTTCAACTACAAGTCGGTCACGTCGACTCGGCCACGAGGCTTGATGCCTTGAGTTCAACTACAAGTCAGTCATACCGACTTGATCATGTAACCTAAACACCTAGGTTTTCTATTACAAGCTGATAGCTTCTCCCAAGCCAGGTTGGCTGAGCAAGTCTTTATATTTCTCCCAACCCCCGTTGGTCAAGCATTCACCTCCCAACTTAGGGTGGTCGAGCAAAATCCTATCACCATGGGTTGGTTGAGCGAACTTTCTCCAAACAACGGTTTATCCGACCTAACGAGCTGCTAGCACTAATCCACTAAGTCTACACTCATTCGATTAAATCTATTCTCTAAGCTAAATACCCTTTAACTTAAAGAGTGGGGGGCTAACTATTAGGGCAAAAAATAGTCTTGGGTCTAACGAGGCCTAATAACGAAATAAACATGTCTTGTCCTTAATTCTTATCAAATAACTTAAAGAGTGGGGGGCTAACTATTGGGTCAATCTAGACTACTCAAAACCATCTATTTGCTCATAAAGTTCTTGTTCCCAAGAATCCGATACCTCTGCCGTAGTCCTAGCCTCCGAAAAGACTCCTGGTAATTCGTCTTATCCTTAATTCTTATCAAATAATCTCTTTCAGCCTTGCTGACTTGAGAGTCGGAGTGCATACGGCAAACACCACCCTGGTGTTTTCCGTAAGCTTCACGCTTGTTCTTTCATGTGTGCAAGTCTAGTGGATTGTTAGTGGCCTCAACTTCACGGGATCAGACCCTACTTTCATGACGGTGGATTTTTTGCATCTACAGGTCTCTAGCCATATATCGAGACACGGTGGTTAGTGGGGTTGTTACTCTATGACGCTTCCATGCGTAGAAGCTTAAGCCATGGATTCCTGAAATTGGGAACAATAGGGTTTCAACATGTAGATGACAAACCCAATTCGCAAGGGTTATTTTGTCATTTCTATACCTTTGGATTTGTAGGGTGTTCAAGGAATCTTAAAGATTAATTGAGGTGCGTACAAGCAAGTCTGAACACCCCAGTTACCAGAAAAGAAAAAGACTATTTTGCCTTATGTATTTTAATAGAGCTTGGATGATGTTAGGATTTTAGGGAGTGGTTGATTATTTTTTAAAACATCTTGGGATAAATTGATTAAAAAGTCGATAATATCCAAATACTTTGACTTTTCAAAGCAGGGGCAAACTGATTTTCTCTTGTATGGCAATTGACAGATATTATTAGATGAAAATTTATTATATGGAATCTTACTGATAGCAAAACCCCATATATAGAGAATTAATTATATATAGCATCATATGAAAAAATTTATGTAGATATGATTTTATCATATGGATACATTTAAGTAGATATCATTTTAATTAAAAAATAAATGTGATGCTCTAAATAAGTAAAGAAATAATTTTATTTTAAGTAAAGAAATAATTTTATTTTAAGCAAACAAATAAATGTCAACTATAAGTATGACATGCATAGGGCAAATATACAGTTTTATACTATATTATCTTATTTCTTCAAGTTTAGAGAAACATATGGCAAGGCTCTCGTTATCTTCAGCTGCTTGTTTTCTTCTCCTCACCTTTGTATTTGCTATAGAAGCTTCACATGTAAAGATTTCTCTCTTTATCTCTTAACTAGTTAATTGTATATATATTTATAATTGACTTACAAAAAATATAAATTAAGGTTTAATTACCAAATTATTTTATTTATATTCAGGTAAAAGAGGTTAATTCTTGCGGTGCAACCTATCATCCAGTAAGTTTTCTTGTTTTTAATAAATAAATTTGTATTTTTGTTAAAATTAATTAATTTAATTATGTAATCGTGAATATGCACAGGCTGGTGGTGAAGGATCACTCAAACCCGAAGGTAATTAATAAAGTTTTTCTTTTTAGATAATATTATTGTTTTAAAATGTATGGAAATTAAGAAATGTTATTGTAATTGTGCAGAGTGTGCAGGGGCTTGCGATTACAGGTGCTCCGCAACTTCACACAGAAAGCCATGCTTATTCTTCTGCAACAAGTGTTGCCAAAAGTGTTTGTGTGTTCCTTCTGGCACTTACGGAAATAAAGAAGAATGTCCTTGCTACAACAACTGGAAAACTAAAGAAGGTGGACCTAAGTGTCCATGATTTTCTGTATTATGTTCCAGCAACTCTGGTTTAGATACCATAATAACAGAATTTGTCCGAAACATTTTTCCAATTTTGAAAAACCTAGATAAAGCTCTCCAAGTTTAAAGATACAGACCCCCAAGGTTTGATATAATAACAAAATCATCTTGAGGTTTCTAAAATGTTGTGTGAGAATTTACGCCAAGCTCGGTTGGATATAAGCAAGACAATTCTCCTGCAAATCACCGAATGAGCCATATCCCTTAGAATCAGGGAGAGAATTTTGGCATCTTATCAAGAAAGTCTACGTTGAGCGCGGTTGCATCAATCATGAGATTAACTTTCTTATTTCAAACACAATCCCTAGAATCACTCCACTAACGTTTAATGTATAAATAACAATAAAACACTCATTATAAAAGAGAATTTATTCTTAAAATCCTACAAATCTAAAACAAGAACAATAGAAGTAGGCTTGAGATTTTGCTCGTCGAATCACTTTAAAAAGGTTTATTGTCTTTTTATTTTTTTATTTTGCTGATTATTTATAATCATATGGCCATCCGATCTGATTCCATCAAGGTCAAGCAGATTCCTTTAGTTTGTGTGATTTTTTATATCAACATTAAATAACAAGAATTCATCTATCGTTAATGAATTATTAGTGAATCGTTAAAATTTACACTATTATAAATTAAAAAATATTATCATATTGTCGTTTATTTTAACACTTAAAAGTTAAGAGCAAGAGAATTTCTTTTATTTTTTAAGCCTCAAGAAGATTTATGTTATTTCGTCGTATCAACAAAAGTATTTTAACTATTATTTTAATAAAAATAAGGTAGCAGTGGAATTTTCGTCGAGTTTGCAGGGAGATTTAATGGTGCAGATTCATACATATCCAATGCGATGGATGCCATGATTAATCATAAAAGTATAAGAACTCTACTCCTATTTTGAGTGAATGAATATTCCAGAAGTATCTAGAAAGGTTCCTGGTATATTCTCTGGATACTCTGTGTCAAATCTAGGTTAAACCTTTGAACATGAATTGGCCTTATTTGGTGTTAGGCTTGGGGCGAACGTGACATTTGGGAGGGCAATCAAGTTGTTGCCTTAACAACACAAAAAAGCGACGCCTCTAATTGTGAGTTTCACAATATGGGCCACAATGTTGACGATGCTAAAACATCAATTTGGGTCTCTAGCCATGTACCCAGTCACGGTGGTTAGTGGGGTTGTAAATCTCTGACGCTTCCATGCCTAGAAGCTTAAGCCATGGATTCCTCAAATTGGCAACAATAGGGTTTCAACATGTAGATGACAAACCCAATTCCCAAGAGTTATTTTGTCATTTTCATAGCTTTGAGTTTGTAGGATGTTCAAAAGATCTCAAAGATTAATTGAGTTGCATGCAAGCAAGTCCAAACACCTCGGTTACCAAGGAAAAAAAAAAAAAAAAAGACTATTTTGCCTTGTGTATTTTAATAGAGCTGGGATGATGTTAGGATTTTAGGGAGTGGTTGATTATTTTTTAAAACATCTTGGGATAAATTGATTAAAAACAAAAAGTCGATAATTATCCAAATACTTTGACTTTTCAAAACAGGGGCAAACTGATTTTCTCTTGCATAACAATTGACAGCTATTATTTGATGAAAATTTATTATATGGAATCTTACTGACAGCAGAACCCCATATATAGAGAATTAATTATATATAGCATCATATGAAAAAATTTATGTAGATATGATTTTATCATATGGATACATTTAAGTAGATATCATTTTAATTAAAAAATAAATGTGATGCTCTAAATAAGTAAAGAAATAATTTTATTTTAAGTAAAGAAATAATTTTATTTTAAGCAAAGAAATAAATGTCAACTATAAGTATGACATGCATAGGGCAAATATACAGTTTTATACTATATTATCTTATTTCTTCAAGTTTAGAGAAACATATGGCAAGGCTCTCGTTATCTTCAGCTGCTTGTTTTCTTCTCCTCACCTTTGTATTTGCTATAGAAGCTTCACATGTAAAGATTTCTCTCTTTATCTCTTAACTAGTTAATTGTATATATATTTATAATTGACTTACAAAAAATATAAATTAAGGTTTAATTACCAAATTATTTTATTTATATTCAGGTAAAAGAGGTTAATTCTTGCGGTGCAACCTATCATCCAGTAAGTTTTCTTGTTTTTAATAAATAAATTTGTATTTTTGTTAAAATTAATTAATTTAATTATGTAATCGTGAATATGCACAGGCTGGTGGTGAAGGATCACTCAAACCCGAAGGTAATTAATAAAGTTTTTCTTTTTAGATAATATTATTGTTTTAAAATGTATGGAAATTAAGAAATGTTATTGTAATTGTGCAGAGTGTGCAGGGGCTTGCGATTACAGGTGCTCCGCAACTTCACACAGAAAGCCATGCTTATTCTTCTGCAACAAGTGTTGCCAAAAGTGTTTGTGTGTTCCTTCTGGCACTTACGGAAATAAAGAAGAATGTCCTTGCTACAACAACTGGAAAACTAAAGAAGGTGGACCTAAGTGTCCATGATTTTCTGTATTATGTTCCAGCAACTCTGGTTTAGATACCATAATAACAGAATTTGTCCGAAACATTTTTCCAATTTTGAAAAACCTAGATAAAGCTCTCCAAGTTTAAAGATACAGACCCCCAAGGTTTGATATAATAACAAAATCATCTTGAGGTTTCTAAAATGTTGTGTGAGAATTTACGCCAAGCTCGGTTGGATATAAGCAAGACAATTCTCCTGCAAATCACCGAATGAGCCATATCCCTTAGAATCAGGGAGAGAATTTTGGCATCTTATCAAGAAAGTCTACGTTGAGCGCGGTTGCATCAATCATGAGATTAACTTTCTTATTTCAAACACAATCCCTAGAATCACTCCACTAACGTTTAATGTATAAATAACAATAAAACACTCATTATAAAAGAGAATTTATTCTTAAAATCCTACAAATCTAAGACAAGAACAATAGACGTAGGCTTGAGATTTTGCTCGTCGAATCACTTTAAAAAGGTTTATTGTCTTTTTATTTTTTTATTTTGCTGATTATTTATAATCATATGGCCATCCGATCTGATTCCATCAAGGTCAAGCAGATTCCTTTAGTTTGTGTGATTTTTTATATCAACATTAAATAACAAGAATTCATCTATCGTTAATGAATTATTAGTGAATCGTTAAAATTTACACTATTATAAATTAAAAAATATTATCATATTGTCGTTTATTTTAACACTTAAAAGTTAAGAGCAAGAGAATTTCTTTTATTTTTTAAGCCTCAAGAAGATTTATGTTATTTCGTCGTATCAACAAAAGTATTTTAACTATTATTTTAATAAAAATAAGGTAGCAGTGGAATTTACGTAAAATACGAGAATATTATCATCGAATTAAAAATATACAAAACGAATTCATAAAAAAGGTGTGGAGTGTCAGTAACCCAGAGTACTTGGGCCAAGTTTATCAGACCCAAACCTTAAAGAAATTCAGAGCCGTGGATAATATTTAACGTATTTTTATATTAGAATTTAGAATTAGAAGGGAAAACGCGACACAACCACATTATAAAGAAAGCAAAATTCCCCAATCCATCCACCATTGACTTTGTAGATCATTGAAAGCTTCAAGACGCTCTCAAATCTCCTCGAGGCCTTGCCATCACTATGACTCATATCCTTCTCTACTTCTTCCAATTTTTATCTTTTAATTTCTTTAATTTGTTACTTTAACTTTCTGTTTTGTTTTTGGTTTTTCCTTAATTATTTGGGTTGGATCGGATCTCAAGCGGAAGCCAGAGAGAACGTGATCGCGAAAGAGCCCAGGCTCGCGGTGGCAGCAAGGGCAAGAACAAAGACGACGGCTTGACTCCCGAACAACGCCGTGAAAGGTTCGCTTTATTATTCCAATTACCTCTCCTTTTCATTACTTTGGTAGGATTTTGTTTCGATTTGCTTTCTTTTCCTGTGTTTAGAGACGCCAAGGCACTGCAAGAGAAGACGGCTAAGAAGGCGGCACAGGCCGCCGGTGGGGACTCTGCCGGAGGTAACAGCAATAATAAGAAATAAGACCAAACGTTCAATTTGGGGTTATTTTGTAATTCTAGTTCTGGGTTTTTGAGAGATTTATTATGTCTTGGTTTCTTTTTCTTTGGTCTAAGGAAAAAAAAAACAAGTTGTCTTAATTCATGTTACTGTATGTGGGTTTGTATTTAATATTCTAATTGGAGTTTGAATAAGAAAATTAAATGTTACCAAATGTTATTTTTATGATGCTTGTTATTTTTATGGTTGATTTGAANAAACCCAACTCAGTTTAAGTCATGTCCATCTTCCTCAACTGCTTTCTTTCCAATTAAAAAAGCATAAACTCTATAAAGTATAAACATTGTAGTAAAAAACGAAAAATGAAAAACAATAATAAGTTACATAGTTGGAAACTTGGAACAGAGATAAAATCAATACCTGGTGTTGGTAAAGACTGAAGACGAGCTGCCGTTGAACACTTAACAGAGCAAAGACGAAATCAATGTGGAGCTCGACTAACGGATGAACACTTGAACACTGAACAGAGCAGAACTGCAGAAGAGAAGAAGAGATCGCGACTGCCCACAGTTCGTCAGTTCCTGAGCAAGAAGAATATATTTTAAAACTAGGCAAAGTGTTTTTGCCGGTTATATAGCTCACCTGGCCCGGCTGACTGGCCGAGTCCCAGTTTAACCGGTTCAACCAGCCGGGCCGGGCCGGGTTTTAAAACATTGATAAGAATACAGAATAGTTGTTTGGTACATTTTGGAAAATATTTAGATTATTTTAACCCTTTACATTTTTTAATTTAGCTAAACACCCCCCACAATAAAAGTTTATAAATTAACAAAAACACCCCAACCACCCAAGCCACTACGGCAGTTGGCAGTCGTCGGAATGATGCATGATTAGATGGATCTGGCCAGCCGTACACCGATTTGGCCTTTTTTCGATAAGATTCACCGTGGACCTGGCCGTCGTTAACAACCAAAATCTAGTTGTTAACAACCAGATCAGGCCGTAGATCTAGCCATTTCAAGCTAGATCCATGGTGGATATGGTCGTTTCCAACCATATCAGTGTGTGATCGGCCAAATCTGTCTCGGTCGTGCATTGTTTCGACGTCAACAGTAGGCGGTGGCGACTAACAGTCTATAGGGGCTTGGGTGAGTAGGGATATTATTGTTAATTTATAAAATTTTATTGTAAAGGATAATTGTTAAATGTTTTGAGTTGAATATAATAGGATAGTAGAAAACAAGTCTCACATACTTTTCCAACTTTAGACAAAAAATCCTATTTGAGTTGGATTAATTTTCTGAATGAAATAACTTAATAACTAAACAAACACATATTCTGTTTTTCAATCCAAATAAGATAATAGAAAAGTCACTCAAAAGAGTGAAACAACGAGGCCCATTTTTCAACTCGACCCTTGAAATAGTTCTATTCAATAAATTTTTAATAACAAAATACCTATTTTGGTCCATCATTTACTATATCTACCTTTCCAAAACAAACACAACATAAATATTAAATTTTAATACATACCATAAAATTGTTATTCAAAATTGGTTACTTCTAAAGTCATAAGCAATTAAAGAAGAAACTATAAAAATCTCAAATTGGATCTTATTTGACAGTCTATTTGAAGCCAGAAACAAAAGCAAATTCTCGAGTGAGCATCAATCAAGGCGCAAAAGCAGCTTTAATAAAGACTCTGTCAGTTGGTCACTGAAAGAAGCTAGCATATATAGATACTTTGCTTCTTCTTCCCTCCAAGCTTTACCTAATTCCCACCTTATAAATACTCGCATGTGGTGTGAAATAATACAAATCCCAAACAAATTGAAGTTCCCTATTTTCTGATGGAGGACACACAACTTAATTAGCGTCTTGAGAACCGGTTAGTTTCCTCTTTTTATACAGTAATGTCATTGTTTCATTTGTGTTGTGATCAGTTTTTCATGTTCAAATTTTGATTTTGATTTTATTAGATTCTTAATCATATTGACTTTTTGGTTATTCATGCATAATATGGCGGAGACTCTGGAGAAATTATACTGACAAGTGGGTTCTTGCATGGCCAAATAAAGGTTGTTATTTGGTATGGGGAGTTAGGGAAAATGCTCCTTCAAGAGCGGCCGCCAAGAAGAAGGAGAAAGCAATGAAGCCCTTGAGGGAGAAGCTTATCGGATTCAACATCTCATCCATTTCATCTAAAACTGCGAACATGAGATTACCATCCACATTGAAACAACACAATCTTTAGCTCTAATAAAGGTGGTCTTCTCTCAACAAATATAAATATTACTTGATGGCTTGGGCTCAAAGTTAGGAGAATATATATCTCTATCTAAAAATCCAACAGGGAAATGCTATATGATCTTCCTCACCACCTCAAGTCAAACGCCACCCATCGGACAGTTGCAGAAGAATACTTATAACCCTTCGAAGACACCGTTCTTCTTAAAACAATGTGTTTAAAATTTAGATAATGCTCTACATTGAAGCATAACCTTATCTTTCTTGAATCTAGATAAGCTTTGCTTAAAATTTTAAGCATTATCTTTCTTTGAATCTAGAACAGTCTTAATGTATTTTATGCAATCTTTTCTAAGGTAAAGATATGTTTACTTTTGTGAATGTAATCCTATTTGTCTAAGTTTTTGTATGTCTTGTATGACATAAATTCGGTGTAAGTATTCAAAAAAAGGATTTGAATCCAATTTAATAGCATAAAATTTGGGGAGTGATTTCTGAATTGTCGTAAACGTGTTTCATGGTTTGTCAAAGCGAATTCTTATATGATTCTCCTATTTGCTACTTTATTTTCATCCATATCTCTTTAGTTTTCAGTTCATGAACATGATGATGTCTCAGAAAGATAGCAATCACGCATCTCCACCCCCGCTAAAATGGTGCAAAAAACACCAATTTGGCTTGGGTTGGCAGTCCAACCCGCGCTAAACACTGCGCCAAATTGGGCGCAGCACTGTAGTACTGCGCCAAAATGGCGCGGTACTGTAGCAGACATAAAAAATTTTTTTTTTTATTTTTAGTTTTTTTGTTTTAATTTGTTAAGTTAATTTGAGTATTAAATTTTAACACCAAAATCACACCAATTTGGTATTTGTATTTAATTTAATTTGATTATTATATTTAATAATAAATTATAATAATGATATAATTTAAAAAATGTAAAAATAAAAATAGAACTTATTCAATGCAATATTAAACTACAATAACCAAAATAAAATTAACACTAATTTAAAACACTAAAATTAAAGAAATACACTAAACTAAAATAACAATTTAGTATTCCGGTAGATTAGTTCCGGATCCGTAAGATCATCAAATATTGAAAAAAACTTGAATGGACACACATCTTTTTGAATAAGTCACAAATCTCAAAAGTTTGAATGGACAACACATCTTTTTGAATAAGCCACAAAGCTCAAAAGTTGAATGGACAACAACTTTTTGAATAACCCACAATCTCAAAGCTTGAATGGACAACAAATCTTTTTGAATAAGCCACAAATCTCAAAGCTTGAATGGACAACACACTTTTTTGAATAACCATAATCTCAAAACTTAATGGCACACATCTTTTTGTAAGCCACAAGCTCAAAAGCTGAATGGACAACCATCTTTTTGAATAAGCCCCAAATCTCAAAAGCTTGAATGGACAACACATCTTTTTGAATAAGCCACAAATCTCAAAGCTTGAATGGACCCCATCTTTTGAATAAACCATAAATCTCAAAAGCTTGAATGGACAACACATCTTTTTGAATAAGCCACAAAGCTCAAAAGCTTGAATGGACACACATCTTTTTGAATAAGCCACAAATCTCAAAAGCTTGAATGACAACACATCTTTGAATTATTATTTTTTATCTAGAATAGTGTTTTCTTCAACTATAAAACCTCATACCAAATCAACTTCCAAATCTTCAACTAAAATATACTCCAAAGAGATTTCAATTTTGGGGTCCATCTCATTTATCATCTTCTAATTCATCATCATTTTCCGACAATGAAATTGATGATGAGGAATTGATGATGATCTTGAAGCAATTGATCAGAGCAAGAAGCAATCCTTCGCATGAGAGCTAACAACAACCTCCTCCTCCTTCACTATCTCAATCAAACGAACAACCAGGTGATCCGTAGAGGATCAATTCCGGGTCATAAGTCATCAATCGCAACCGAGAAACTGCTGATCGCAATTTGTTCAAAGATTATTTTGCCGAGATCCGGTTTATGATTCCATGTTTCGCCGACGATTTCGAATGTCTCGCAATTTATTCATTCGATTGTTGATCAGGTGAAGGTCTGACAACTACTTTGTACAACGAGGGATGGCTCGGTAGGCTCGGATTGTCTGCTTTTCAAAAAATAACAGCGGTTATCCGGATGTTGCGTATGGTCTACCGGCAGATGCTACTGATGAGTATATAAAATAGGCGAGTCTACAACCATTGAAAGTTTGAAGAGATTTTGTCGTGCTGTTTGAGGTATTTGCAAACGATATCTAAGATACCTAATGCAATGATGTTGCAAGGCTACTTCATATTGGTGAACAACGTGGTTTTCCAGAATGTTGGGTAGTTTAGATTGTATGCACTGGAAGTGGAAAAATTGTCCAACAGCTTGGGCAGGAAAATAGCTGGTCGTAGTGGATCCCCAACTATTATTCTCGAGGCTGTACTGATTATGACTTTGGATATGGCATGCATTTTTTGGTTTGCCAGGTTCCACAATGACATTATGTGTTGGAGGCATCTCATTTTTTTGCCAACCTAACTCAAGTATTGCTCCCCCCCTCATTATAGCATTCAAGGAAAAGATTATAATATGGGTTATTATTTAGCTGATGGTATATACCCAAAGTGGTCTACTCTCGTACAAACTATTCACGATCCACGTGGTCCCAAAAAAAATTATTTGCAAGAACAGGAAGGATGTAGAAAAGATGTGGAACGTGCGTTTGGAGTTCTCCAATCGCGATTTGCAATTGGGCAGGACCGACACGTTTTTGGATAAAATGTATTACATGATATAATGACTGCGTGTATTATTATGCACAACATGATAATCGAGGATGAACAATGTTGATGCATCGATTGAGATCAGATGGAAGCGCCAACTCCCGAATGTAAATGTTCATATGAGAATGTCCGTTTCGAAATTTTCTTCTCGACATAAACAAATCAAGGATACAGA